ACATGTCATTTTAATTGCCACCATAAATCTCGAAAAAAAAATGCATTAAAAGATATTACAGATAAAAGTTGTATATATCTGTATATCGATAGTTACAAACTAGAAATTTTATGACTTTTTCCTCATAGACGGAAAATTTCCTATAAAAAAATTCTTTAAATCCTTCATAATTTAATTAAAAGGATGTTAAAATAAAAAAATACGTTTATGCGATTTCCGATTAGAATTTCAAGATAACATTAACTTTTTGTACAAAAAAGTCAAATATCGCAAAAGAACCATATTTTGTACATTAAACTTCAATTAATAATTTGGTATTAATAATTTTGTTGAAACAAAAAATACTGTAACAGACTGTTTCTTTCATCGCTTTACGAGATTTATTTTAGCACTTATGATACATAAATTATACATACATATATACATATATAGTATATCGTACATACGTACATACAGAGAGTGCCGCAGAAAATACAAGTTATTAGAACAATGGTACCTTTCCCACAAAATAAATTCAAAATCGAGTTTAGAAATTTGTTTGATATACGTAGAACATTCTCCTAATCGACATCAATTATTTTTAATCGAAAACACTTCATCGTTTATCTCACTTATGTTGTAAGGATTTGCTTTTTTCTCTTTTTTTCATTTTATTTTACTTAATCGAACGCTGTAACATCGGAGAATCCAGATATTCGCATTCAAATGGTTCGTCTTGTACGTAAATATAATAAACTCTGTATTGTAACACATGTGACTTTGTAACGATCTTAGTATAAACGCCGCGTTCTCAAAGTTTTAGTATATCCTTATAGTCATAAATACAGAGTTGCACACCATGATGCAATTTCATAATTCTTTCAAAAGACATCTAAATGACGACATACCTAATCGTCAAATCTCTTTTAAATGTCGAAGAAGCACCTAATGTCTTCTCAATTTAAAAGAATATTGCTAAAAGAATTCTGACATTCTTCAGATATCCAAAAAATATCTGTCAAACGTCTAAAATATTAGCTCGACATTTTGATCGTATATGCATAGATGCCCTAGAATTTACGTGCGATTCTGTGTAGAAGCACCAAGATACTATTGAGGACCATCGGCCCTGGGCAACTTTTCGTGATTATGGGACTCAGGGATAATTGAAGAACAATGACATTACTAAACAATTAATAAAAATTTATGATTATTAACAAATTTCGATAACTTATTAAATTCGTGATTTTTTATTATATAAACGCTGTATAAATAAATACATATACTTTTAATGCTATATCTTATAGCATTTTTTCTTGGGATAAACTAAGTGCCTCGCACCGCACCAGTTGCATGTAAACGCTACACTCAACTACACTAGAGTGGTGCACATCATAGTGTATACTACATTATTATTGCGCTAAACCCTGTTCCCGCTTCCATTTTTAAATTTTAAATGTCACACTGGTTCTACACCGTCTTTTTCAGACGCGTCCTTTTCAGCAAAATCCCACTTCGTGCATAAAATTTGCACTACACTGTAGCCACGGAAACCCGGTACATTGTCTGAATGTAGCACTAGTGAACGATAGTGCAGCCAAGAGAAAACGCTATTATATATTGCCGAAAAATTAGAATTATTTCTCTGCAATTATCATCTCTGTTGATAATTAGCACGCAAAATTCTATGAACATCGACTGTCTTCAATAGTATCTCGTCGGTGATAGAAGTAACTTTTTCCTTTTTACAAAATACGTTCGATCAGTAGTTTTTAAATAGAAGCAAATAAAATCTAATAAATAAACGCTCGAAGTTATATGTGCGTTCTATTATTTTTTTAAAGATTTTATTCTGTAAATCACAAGATTTCTATAAAACATCTACAGGGTGTCTCAAATTTAAATGAGATTTAAGATCCTCTAAATTTCGTACAGAGAATCGATAAAAGTTCTTTAGAGATATGCGTTTTGCTTCGTTTGATTCCCTATACGCTCCGGAAGTTTAGCCATTTAAATTCGAGACACCTTGTATATAAAAGATGTTCTAATCCTTTAAACTTCTCTTAACCATATAAGAAATATTCCAATTACTCTCATGTAGTCTTTTAGACATCTTCTGAATTTATATTACTTGGATTAGTTATCTCATATAGTTCATCGATGAATTAAGCGTATTTTTTTTGAGAGAGAGAGAGGCTAACAGTCCGTTTCGTTTCTATTAAACTATTATATATTATATAAAAAAAAAATAATAAAAATCGGAAGAATACATCTGTACAGCCAAGCATCATATTGGGATACTCTTTTGCAAAAAATATCGCAACGACTTCTAACATTTAACGTAATATTTATATTTAATGCAGAGAGAATCACCTATTCCGATAGCTTGTAACATTTACGCAAATGAAAGCAAATATATTCTAATGAATTGAATGATTTTACTAAATGAAGGAAACGATTACAATCATAATGAATTTAATTTCCTACAAACGACATTGAAGCCTCGACTTGAACGAAAACAATCTTCATTCGTAAAAACAAATTACACAAAGTTACATATTCATCTACAAAACTATTTTTTATACAAGATTATTTAAATATTTAGTCGTAAAATAATTCACTCAGAATTCAAGGCCTTCCTTTAAAAATGTCATATATCGCATTCGATAATTTTTGAAGTAAGAAATTTTTGTGTTGTCGCTATATAAATATGTTTTGTAAATCGTTTAAATTAAGAATATTTAGCTCAATATTTATTCTTAATAATTTAATGTCCTATATGAACGCATTTATAATATAATTAGATATCAAAGTGTATGTATATTTGATATTGACTACATATGCGATATGTCACGTGTGCATGACTTGCGTATGTCACGTATTCTTGAAAAGGAGGTGTTGATAACGAACATAATTGTTTTGCCGTCTAGCTTCTTGAGATATAGCCCTTCCATTGGAAAATTTATTTGATGAAAACTAATGTGCGATAATATATTTTCTAACCGTTAAAGATACCATGCCAATTGACATTTTTTTCATTTTCCGTGATACACAATCTTCATCGTACACCATCCTACGACAAATGCCAATCAGCATGGTGCCTTCAGTGATTAAAATATATATTATCACATGTTGTTCTTTATTAGATAAATTTTTCGAAATATTTCTTCACTTAACGATGGAATTGGACGTTAAAAAAACTGACTGTGCTCGTTATCAACGTTTCCTGTCCAAGGATACGACATCACATGCAAGTCATTCACACATGATACCGCGTACTAATATCACATATGCATAACATACATTTTATGAGTGCGCTTCTCATTTTTTTATTTGATCAAATTAATAGATTTAAAATATGTTCTACAGTTTTGCAGTGGAGTAATAACTCAATATTTTTATAAGTTGAGAGATTATTTTTTAAAAGGTCTTTTTTTACTTCAATTTTTTTACGCTCTCCGCTGAAAATTCAGTATTTTTATTAATATTTCCATAATGTAGTTCATAATTGTCAAAATATATTAATTTTTTATATAGATAGAAAATACATTAATATTAATACGCTGAATAAATCGGTCCATTTGTTATAAATAAACGTCATCTGTTGTTACACAAATCATATCAAAGAAATTACGACTATTCGCAGCAAAGCTTGGAATGCTTTAATGTGCGTTACATATCAATAAAATTTTATTTTCATTTATTCTAACATTGAAAGAAAAAAACTGAAACTTGAGTGTCTGTCGAATTGAAGCTGAATTGGGAAAATCAGAAACTGATATATCTAAATATTTATAGAAATTTTTTTCATCATCTTATTAACACTCGAGTATTTTATTGTCGATAAATTAATGGCTTTTTATTTGACAATAGGTTCAAAATATTCGAATTTTATTTTCAGTGAACTGATATTTTCTTTATTAATGATTGATCCAAGATATTTAAATAATATTTCCTTTCTTATCGATACATTCGATCAAAAATATTCTAATATTTTACTTAAATCAGTATTTTTATTATTATTAACAACCACATATTGTGATATTGATATTTCGTATTTATTAATTCTTTCTATATACGTACATTCTAAAGAAAAATATTCTAAACTAACCCTTTACATTGTAATATCTATCCTTTATTATTGTAATAATTTGTTTTACTTTTTAACATGTGAAACCAATTTGGTTTCTGAATTTCCCAATACAATTTCAACGATCGCCATACAATCGTAAAATAAAGCTATTTTGGTTGAGTATCCTGTTGAGTTTGTTGTTGCTGTTGTGTCTGCTGTTGTTGTACTTGCTGTGTTAAGGTTTGTAATCTCACTTGACCAAGAACAGATGGAGAAGTTAGATTCGAGGCGGACACGGAAGTAGCACCTACGGCAGGACTGGTACCCGCAACAACTGTGGAACCGGAAGCTGCCGCACCCGGACTTGTGCTTGTACTAGGGCTAGACCCTGGACCAGGACTTCGTCTTACCGCACTAGTAACAGGTTTTCCTTGGATAGGCGTGGACTGTCGTAGCTGAGGATTGCTGGCAGTCACCACTTGAATAGTTTGCTTCAGGGATGCGGGTGCAACTGGTATTACACGAGTCTGCAACGGTGATTTAGCTAATACAACCTGACTAGCCTGAGACACCGTTTGCCCCGTGGAGACCTACAATTATAGAGTAACCAGCATTCATTAAGCCATACAATTAAGCGTTCATTAATATTTGTTAACTTCGGTGATCTTTCTCGAAGTGCTTTTCTTTTGTGTTTACCTTTAAATTTAGTTCCAAAAATATTCAATAATTTTTTAATTTTAATGATTATAAACTATTATAATATAATATATATTATTATTATATTATATATTATAATATAAGAATAATTTTATAGATTCCTAAGGATTCAGAAAAATAGTTACGTAGAAATTTTTTTATATATAATAATTAAAACAGTTTACAAAATTTAAAAAGAAATCTTATTTCTTTACGTGACTAAATTGCTGCATCGTCGAGGGCTGCACATGTTTCATCACTTGATGAATTTGTTGTACCGTCATGGTTGTAGGTAACGATTTAGTAGGTTGCACGATCAGTTGCGTTTGCACGCCAGCTTTATTTGCGACTTGAGCTAACTGCGCGACTTTCTGTGCCGGTAGTTTTCTCTGCGTGATAATCTGCGGATGAAGTGAAAGCTGTCGAATCTGTTGGGGAGTCGCAGTGCGAACACTCGACACATTGGTCGTCTTCACAAGTGTCGCTACCGGAGTACCGCCCGCGGAAGTCCCTGCTTGTTGCACTTGCAGACCAGCCTGAGCGAAGATCTGTGCCGGTGTAAGTCCCGTTGGCGTAGGTACCTGCAGCCAAGTCGCAGTCGATTACTTTTGCGAGATATATGAATATAAAATTGCGTTCCATAATATTTCATTTTTCTCTTTTTAGAATGAGTGTGGTACAATTTGATTAATTCGGATATCTGTGAATATTTTAATTATTTATGTTTTCTTTAATTTTTCTCCCTTATTAAAACTCACCTGCCCTTGCGCGGCCGCTGCGGCAACAGCCGCCTTCGCTTGTTGCTGCATCGCCTGTCGTTTCAGTAACGCAGTAGCTATTTCAGTTTCGGACATTGGTCTAGTCATTGTTGGTTTGCCCACAGCGGTCTGCGGTGTTGCGGCACCCGCAGTACCGACGGAACCAATACCCTGCTTCATCAAAGTAGCTCGTTGTGCCGCTGCCGCTGCTGCCGCCGTAGCCGATACCGCGACAGACACTTTTTGACCGCTAGCAGCTTGAGCCTGCAATACTTTAAGCTGCTGCTGTCGCAATAATACCTGCTGTTGTTGCTGCTGCTGCCTATAGTACTGCACCTGTGCTGGCGTTGGAATCTTATTTCCCGATGCTGCTGTGGCCATCGTGACGCCTACTAGGCCTCCCTTTTGACCACTTGCCGCACCAACGGAAGTTTGACCAGCAGACACTAAACTCGTCGCAGTTCGTTGAGCTGCCTGCTGGATATTCACGTTTGCTGACGTCGTTCTCACGTCTTGTATTTGTCCTCCTCCCGGTCGAGCCTTAACCACCGTAGTGGCTGCTGCCGTTGTAGTTGTTACATTGCTCAAACTCACGTTAGTCGCAACCTTCGTGCTAGGTACCGTTGCTTGTGTCAATTGATGAATTTGAGATGCAACAGAGTTTGCGATTGCTTGCTGTCCAGCTTGTTGTTGAGTTTGCTGCTGCTGTAGCTTCAGCTGTTGTTGCTGTTGGGCGGCTTGTTGCTGCTGATGTTGTAAGAGTCGTGCTGCAACTTGTTGTTGTTGTTCCGGCGTTAAAACCTGTGACTGTAAATCTCAGCGTATATTTCCTCGAATGTACTAGCGTGGCAAATATAACGATAATATTGATTTTATGACTCAAATGCCAATATCAAATTCGAGGTAAATTAAGTATTGTTCTCTTTCATTAAATTTACTTTGATCTAATAAACGAAAATGAATTTTAACTGTCAATATTAACGAAGATATATATGGCTCTAAGAATAAATTTAATAACAAGAAATAAAAAGTCAATTAAGAGCCTACGCAATTATTGGGGTGTATAAATAATATTTATTATAATAAAAAATTTATTGTGCAGATATTTCGATCAATGTTTTCATTCCTTCTCAATGCAAATTAAACTACAATAAAAATATATAAAAATAACTTTACTAACTTATGATAAAAAAAAAACGCATAATTAGAATATGTAAATATTATTGAATCATAATTGTCATGCATAAATTGGATAAAAAAAACGCACAAAAACTTATAGAATGTTATCTTGTTACCAGCAATAGTGTAAGTTCTCAACAAAAGTCCAAAAAACAAGATGTTTGATAGTATTCAATTGATAGATAAATCAATGTATAAATGCCAATCATTCTCAGTGAAAGAGTGTTTGCATAATGTGATCATGCACGTCAAAAATGTAACGCAAATTTGGTATTCCAATCAAAATTATTGTGAAGTCGAATAATAGTTACTAAAAAATTCGACACACTGCAAACATTGAGTTAGTTGAGATTTAAAATAGTAATAAATAGTAATAAATAGTGATTGTTTCTTATACTGACTACTTTATTTAGCTTCTCTAGTTTGATTCTATCAGCACGACGCGTAGCAATTTCAATCGGTGTTGATGGATTATCGACCAGTATTTTGTGGTCGGTAGGGACATCAACGTTCGGATTATTCCTCATCATTGAATTCACGATAGATGTTGGTTTTACGGTAGGCGTTCGCTTGTTAGAAACTGACTTCATGATTTCATATCTCTGATTGCCTGTCGACGTAAAGGAGCCATTTCTGTCCTGATTGTGTAATTGCGATGTTCTCATTATTCTGTTACTCTTGCTTTGTTGCTGAAAAACATAGCAAAATAAAGATAATATTACATATTCATATCACTTCACTCGAAACGTTTAATTATTTTAAATATGAAATTCTATATCTGTAAATAAATATGACATTTTGATATCTTATATTGCTCGTTTTTGGCTTTGTTTTGCTATTTAACACGAGCTCGATTAACTTTTTTTATTTTAATACAAATAATCTGCAAGAAATTAGTAATGCATAGGATACTTTGATGCTATTGTATACATCAATATTATAACAGTTACATACCTCAGAGACTGGCAGCGTTTTGTAAACACTCGTCTTCTGCTTTTTCTGTTTCTTCGGCGTGGTGTCGTACAACAGTTTACCCTCCTCCCTGGGTATTATCACAGATTCGTATCTGTTTCTGCAATGTTTGGGTGATCTATATAAACGTGTGCCATTGTTGATGGAATCGGCAACCATATCCCAATTAGGCGTATGAGCGGGCGAGAGAATCATCGTGTTTAGTGGTAAGTTCTGATAGTTTTGGATGGAATGTAACAAGCCCCATTCCTCGTAGACCAACCAGTCCATAGCTTGATCCGGCTCCGGTGAGGTTTTCGTCACGTGTGATGAGGTTTTCAAGACCGGCATAGGGGGACGTACAATCGCGCGATATTTATACAGCTTCATGTCGCGACGCATCTTCATCAATGCCGGTGACGGCCGATCAAAGAGTGACCTTGGCGCTAACACGGATTCCTCCTTATGGCGCATTATTTTCGCCGGTCGACAACCTATAAAGAAAGTAATGATTAAATTGATCGAATGAAAGAAGATATAAAGATAAACATTAATAGAGAAAAATCATATGTCAGAAATATAGAAAAATATAGGGCAGTAAGACATAAGTAATAAGCGATTCACAGTAGAAAACGTAAGTCAATAATGTTGGCCGATTCGCTTACTGCTTACGTCTTACTGTCTTACGTTTTTATGGGCAAGGAACAAATCCTAAAAAGAATAAGAGCACACAGATAGATGAAATATTTTCCGACTTTTGAATTTATAAAAAGTTCTTAGTATATAACCGTGCAAACGAATATGACATAATTTTATTCTTTTTCATAAACAACACAACAATCGATTGATATTTTGTCTACATAATATATAGATATTCTGTAATGAAAGCTTCAAAAATATAAGCAATCTAGTTGCCAAGAGTTGCTTCATTTTCTTCATATTTATTGCAATTACAATCACTATTTGTATGACAAGTTACAAGATAGAAACTTTCACTCTTAAGTATCCTTAAAATATACATATCGGATGCTATTAATTTAATATTTAAAAATAAGATATATAGTACCAATAAGTTTGAAAACACCCTACGTACCCTTGTACAGAAAAATTTACACAACTGCGATCTATATGTTTTTGGTTTAAATACGTCATAAGAAGTCTAAATAGCGATAAATTTTTATCTAGAACACCTATAAGCTTGTACATGCTGAAAATATATCAAACAAGCATTTAATAGCTCAAAGTTGAATTTCACGCTTTGATCTATTGTTTATATATTATCACTTGTTTTGCAACGTCGTACTTGCATGCGTTATATATACACATGACAGATCGTTTAATTGTAATTTAACGGTTTCTATAAAAATTAAACTGTTTGAGTTGCAAGTTGATTTCAGACTCTGTAAAAATTGTAAAATGGCCCCGAAGAATCAGATTTCGTATGAATTACATTTTAATTAAAATTCCATATTTTAACAGCATATTATTATAGATAACGTATGTATGTACTTTTATTTCGTCTTTTTTCAATTAAATAATTATTTACAAACCAAAATATATCAATTTTATTACATATTTTCTTTAAATTGCACACTTTTATGTGTTTTCAAACTTGGAAAGTACTGTATATGCTGGCTCTGAGAATAAATCAACTAATAAATCAATTTAAAAAGTCAGAAAGAACCCACGTGGATATTAGTACGCAATGCCAATTTATTGCAATGAAATTCGTATATTCAACAAATATAATTCGCTAATATTTCAACATTTTTGGTTCTCTTCAGTGTTGTTTTTATACTCAATATAATGATGATATTAGAATATATATAATATTAAATTTACAAGTTCTAGTATTCTTATATGTTGTTTAAGTAAATGTTATTACAATAAATCGGTACTAATATCCATTAGGCTCTTTCAGGCTTTTTATATTTTATTAGCCATTCATTTATTAAAGAAAAGAATTTTTATCATCTACAAATTGACTCACCATCATCAATGATACCAATATCGATTCTGGTTCTGTTCCGATCCTTCTTCACGTAAATCGGCGGCAGTTGAGCCTCTGTCATGGGGATATTTTCATACAAAAATCCAAGAGAATAATCGATATATACATCGTTATCCGTTGTAGGAGGTGTTGGCGGACACCACATCTAAAAGAAGATTCAATTAGTAATATTCTTCAGAGAACAAGTTCGACAATTCAATCCTCTATTGCACTTCATTATCAATTGAGAATATTGCACTTTTACTTTCCTTTATTTTTATCACAAAGTCGTATAAAATTATTGATTTTCTCATGTAGTGCATAATAAATCAAAGATTAATAAAATATCAATTGTCATAATTACAGAATAACGAATAAATGAATAAGTGCATTCTTTACTTAATTTATTTGTAGGTTTGCAATAAAGGATAAAAATATATAACATTTTGTACTTACTGGCATTTGCTCCAGCGTGTGTTCCGATAACCAAATCTGTAAGATGTTAAAGTCATACGTGAGATATCATGCGATTTATGATAGAATTTTCGCTCTCATATGAAGTCCGTCTCTGTATTCGCTAAAGTTTGCAATGTGCTACTGATACGATTTTTAAATAAAGTATTTTTTTTTTCAATTATCAATAAAGCTATAAAATTTTTGTGAAAACTATGTTTAAATCATAAATAAAATTAAAATTTCCAGTAATTAATATGATAATGCGTCTGCACACAAATAACAAAAAATATAATAAATAATTTTGAGACTACAGAAAGACGGACCTGATGAATAAACTCCCAAATAATGAAAATAAAGAAAGAGAGAAAGGAGCGATACTATTTTTCCCCGATATTTTTGTCCAGTTCTAAAGAGATTTAAGAAATACATAATTGCAAAATCAAGAAACTTTCAATTATAACATCGAGATATAAAATCTTTCGCGTTATTCAATTATTAATAAATTTTAAATTAGAAATTGTATCAAAATAAATTCAAATATATTTACTCAGATTCATCTTACTTTCTGAAAGTTTTAATTTAAGATTTAATTTTCAAAATTAGATGTCAAATCTTAAAAAGTTGTAATAATAAATTTCCTTAAAACTTTTCCTAAGAAAATGTGGACTTAAAACGTGGACAAAAAAAACTCATTGCAAAAATTAAGGCTGGGACATCCGTAGACGTTCAAAGGTTCTCGTTCCTCTCATTCTAAATATCCTGAGAAAGAGTTCTTTACGATATATTCCTTTATATCTATTACTGCGTGTATTCACAATTTTTTTTACATTATGTACATGTATAGATCGAAAGAGACATATATAATGCACAATAGACGCAGTATGATGATCTCACTCATGTGCCTGCTCATATCTTGTTGCGGACTCCAAGTTTGGAATGGCAAAGGCAGTGTTTTGGTGCCATTTTAATGGAACAATTTTATTGGAGCTCTTTTTCTCTCTTTTCTTTTTACGCCTACTAAGGTACATGTATATCTTCTCGAAAAATGTGCGGTCATGATAGCCTTGCCACACCAAACTGACATCGAAAGGAAAAAGTCGTTTTTCGCGTTAAATCGCGATTAAATATAAACAAGCACATTGAGCTGAGAATGATTTGACACCAAAACGGAACTGAACCTTTGATCGACACAGACTTGGAAACGCATCAAGAAATAAGGGTACACATTTCGATATAGTAAGGAATATCTCGTTTATTTTTTTTTTCTTCTTCGAACTCTCGCTCGATCATACAAAATACAGGCACGCAACTTAATTATTACTGTGTGAATGTGTGTGAGTGTATGTGGCGGGAGGAGGCAAGTGGAAAGAGCGAAGGAAGGACATCCTTACCATACACAATAATATATATAACATATATATTACATATACATGTAGTATGTATATATAATATAATAATCAGATCATCGACCTGTGAATTACGTAGCTCAAGGCGGCACGAATAAAACTTTTTCTCACTTTGGCTGCCTCGATACTTCCTTTTCGGGAGTACCAATCGTTCATTATTTTAAATAAATTATTATTATATAAATCTTTTCCAGATTCAAGTAAAATTCAAATCAAATTACCATGAAATAGCAAAAAAATAGAATCAAACTATGTACTTAATATACTGTACTCTTTATATTATTTTTTTAATCACGTTTTTTTGCTCGTGACGCCTGTCAATATATGTGTATGAATAGCTTAGCATACTAGAGAACCGCTTGATTGAGATCAGAATTCGATCCTCATTTCTAATATAATACACTCGTCCATTTCGCTCATCACGCCGTTTATATAAATCGCTAGACATACTTGACTGAAAATCTGCCTCTTATCCGTCTGCACTTTCCCGTTCTGCATTCTAAATTTAATGAAACATATTTGCAGAAAAATAAGAGACCAAGATAGATCGCGAAAAGTGCAGCCAGAAGAAACGGATTCATGATATCTTTACAACGAATAAAGTAAAATGATGTAAAGTGATGAAGAGGGGCGGCGAGTCTGAGTACAATTTACAACGCTACAAATATTACACGTGTACTATCCGGTACAACCCGGAGGAAATACATTGTTTATTATAATTATACTGTGATTATGTACAAGAGGATGCGTACTCGTGCCCCACATTAACGCTAAACATGTCTATTTGATTCCGTTTCATTTCTTTCTTATAGAATATCGATAATTTTTTTCAATAAAATTTCTTCTCCTTTTCGTCGTCCTTACATTAACTTTTTCTTTCTAAATTTTCTTTTTCTTTCACATTTAAAATCTCTAATGTAATTTTTCTCATATGTAATGTTAGAGCTAGTTTTCCTCCTGTATCTGTTCCTTATAGAATTCTCTCTCTTTTTCTCTCTATTTTCTATAATAATCGCGTAATTATTCTGAAGGAAGAATCAAACAGTCACTGAGCGATAAATATAGGATAAGTACGGGCAAAAGACACGTCAACGCGCGATTAATTACAGGCGTTTCTACAAACCAGGTTTAGATTAGATTTTATCCCATGAAACTTCTTACTTATGTTATTCCCTTATTAGAATTCTCTCAACGTTTATCATTAACTCGACTATTAAATAACAATTTCTCACTTATACTTAATTATGTTTTGTTTCTCCATAAAAAATCAGCTCTAATATATAATTAAATAAAAAATCTATAACAAATAACAAAAATTCAGTAAACTCATCTAAATTAAAATATGTGTGTTTTGTAAGTTCACCATAAATTTTTAAGCAAAGAAAAAAAAAAAAATATTTCATTTTTACAGTATTCATCGATTACACAATAATTTTGTCATTCTCTTTAGATTAAGTTTTTAATTTTATTCTTAATTATTTATATAAAAAAAATTCTTTTACGTATATTTTCTATAATATATCAATCAGAGATCTTTTGTTCTTATTTATGGAAAGATCCATCTTCAGATCTATAAGCACGAAATAAATATTTAATTTTTTACTTTAGTTCTTAAAAGAATAAGATTTATATTTCTTATTTCTTTTCGATGTTATAGAATTAATGCACAAATACTGAAAATTTTCATCTTATGTTTTATATTAAAAGAATATTAATAAAAAAAAAAGCATCAAGAATTATCATGCGACAAATACTAAGCATAAACCCGGGTGTTACGCACATAATAGGCGGATTGAGTAGCAGACACAATAGTAGATATATTTGACTGCTTGATCAAATAACAATTATATTCCCAACGGAATAGCTCGTGTCGTTGATGATTACCGCAATGATGCTTCAGCGTGGCTCAAGATATTGTGGTGCTCTTTAGTTTTTCGGATCGCGTCGTTGTGATGGAGGAGGAGGGCGAGGGGGAAATCTGCGAGGAACGAAATCTCTTCTGCGGATCTTCATCACTAACATCATTAGAACCGTCCTCATCTTCCAACAAATTTGATATAGTTTTGGCGCGCTTCGTTTCCTTACGCAACCTCCTGGACTTTAAGTCAGACGAGTTGCAGTCCTCATGATTGGCATCTTGTTCCCTCAGCGTGTCTGACATGGATATCTCTTTATCCTGAATTTTCGTCTCGCAATTAACATTGGATTTGGATTGACTTGATGAAGTCTTGCTACTGATACTCCTCGTGTCTAAAGTGAGAATGGCTACAACTTTGGCCGTTCTTTGAGGCTTCTCGTAGGGTTGCGACATCAAGCTTCCAGTATTCTCACTCGCAGTATTTTCGTTTTCGCTGCTGATCGATGAGGTTCGTACCCGTTTGACATTTGTTTTAAATGCTGAAGCGAGAGAAGATAACGGTGACTTCGTCGACAGTGTGGAATTCAAGAGCAATCCTGAGCGCGTCACCCTTTGTACCTGATCGTTGTTGTGACCGGGCGGTATATTAGGTCGAGGCGTGTCTGGACGGGGTTTTGTTGAGACGACTGTCGTCGAACCTTCCTTCGAGTCCCGCGGTTTCATTGGCGGTATCGATCTACTACGTCTGAACGGCATTGGAGAATTCGGCAGGCCATTGTCTTGATACTGCTTCGAGTTCCGTGTCGTATACTTTTCAACTCGGCTGGGCAGTACCGTATCGAGTCTCGCAGGAAAATTCACGGTGGATCTTGTGATCGGTCGCGGAAGAGGAGTATCCGAGCGTCGTTTCAATTTTGATGAAAGTTGCGTCATCATCTCGTCATTGCTAGGTGGAGGTGTTCTTGAGTGACTTGCTGATCGCGTAATCCTGCTCTGTTCCGCAATTAAATTGTCGGCTCTACGAATTCCCTGACCCGTTTTCATTTGCGAATGCTCCGATACTTTTGAATCAATCTTATCGTTTATCAATCGTGTCTTATTTTCTTCTAAATGATTGACAGTTGAGGAAATTTTTGAGCTACGAGTTATTACGCTTCGCTGAATTATGTTTTCTACTTTTCGTATTTTGCATTTAGGTTCACTTGAATTAAATTCGCTTTTTACCGAAGGTACTAAAGAATTGGGCACATTCGATGCCGCGTCACTTATTCCTTTTTCCGATACTTGTGATAAAGCGTCTGAATTTTCGCTTTTTAAATTAAATTTTTGATCCGATTTTTGCATCACCAGGGATATCGCTGACTCGGCATCATCATTAACTTCATCGCTGTTGTCCTTGTCTTTATCATCGATCACATTACTACGAGTTTCATCAGTATTTACATTAATCTTGGAATTTCTCTGCACGGTAGAAACACGGGATATCGCGACAGGTTTAGAGACAGTGTCGGTCGTGTCAGGACTTTCATTTCGCAACGTTTTCGATCGTAAAAGAGGAGCCGAACGACTAGAGGGTGACTCGACACTTCTGTCCGATTCTCTCGGTGCGGCAGCGGTCAATTTCCCTCGCATGTTGTTGCACAAAGAATTAGCTGACGCGCTGAATTCTAACTTGGATTTGGTCACTGTCTCCTTCGAGCGTTTCAAAGACGCATCCGGTTGCATCGTGCTCGAAGGAGACCGAGAATCCCTCACGCTGACATTCACGTCAAGGTTCTCTGCATCCTCGTTACGATTTACTTCAGGTTCAAGCTTTCTGTAGGTCGTGGACATAACTTTATGTGAACATCGCGTCACCTGAACGGAGCAGACCGCAATTAAATTAGTGCCGTTCGTATTTTTATCGTCACTTCTTTCTTTTTCTTTTTTTACATTTTGACTATCCACTACATCAGAGGTCAGCTCCAACTTTCTGTTTAATTGTGTTTTTACGACTAATGTCGAATCCATGCGATCACCAACAGATTGTTCCGTATTAAAATCAGCAATACATCGGTCCACACTGTTCGAATCGATCGAGGACGATGCGAGATCGCGACTATCCTTCAAATCTCGCTTGTCCTTCGATAAATTTCGATCCGTTTCCTTTATTTCGATGATTTCGAGTTTTGAATTCTGATTGGAATTGACAGATATCTTAGCGCTTGTGTTAATCCGAATACTTCTTTTACGACACACATCAACTGATGAGAAGGTTTCGAGACGATTTTTCTCCGACTTCGCGCGATGAAATTTTTTACGTTTCCGGCGAAAGTTTGGCTTTATACCGGGCAGGATAGGACTCACGTCCAAAGTCCAGAGATTGATCTTAACATTCCCACGCGATCTAGTACGTGGACTGTTCAGATCAAAATGATTTCGACTACGGGAGCCCGAGCCTGCCAGACGACCCTTCCGTCTCGAGAAACCCCCTCGATGTTCGGAATCATCGCGATTATTCGTCCTTCCATCTTCGTTCCCTTCGCCAGTCTCCTGCTCTTCTTCCTCCTCCTCGTCGCTCTCATCTTTCTCTTCGCCTTCCTCTCCTTCCTCCTCATCCCCTTGACTTTGACTCTCTGTGTGACTCGATTCCTCGTCAAGACTATCCTCAACCACGTCCTCCTCCTGTGATTCCGAATCCGAATCAGATTCGGTGCTAGTAGTTTCATTTTCGCTTTCTGATGACAAATCGCGCGCGCGTCTCCTATTACTGCCACGTCTACGCAAACTTCTTCTACTTGGTACTATTAGCCTCTTATTAACTAATCGTCTGGAACCGCTCTTGGCGGCAGTACTATTAACCTGATTCTGCGCATCCTCGCGGCCAAATGTCAGTGGCTTCTCATCGTCGTCGGCAAGCCGCATACGCCGTTCCTCCTCCTCGCGCAATGCCCGCAACCGATCCAACTCCCACTCCTTCTTCTGCTCCTCGAGTTCCCGTTCGGCTGCGGCCAGTTGCGCCGCGGAGAAAGCACCTTCGGATTCCTCGACAAACTTCATCGCATATCGTTCTATTGGAGTCAGCTAAATGGAATATTATAGAACCATTAATCGAAAGTTTAACATAAAGATTATATAACAAGTGATATGAAAGTTAAATGACATAATTGACAAATGGAGAATAAAAACCAAAGCAATTTCTAACCAATCCAATGATTTTAAAAAACGTTCGACCTACCTGAGCAATCAGATTTTGAACTTCCTGTTCTGCCTTGCTAACTTGCGTGTCGTCTTTATCAGCTTCTTCTAGTGGAATGTTTTCATCGAATTCAGCGAGATCGGCGACAGCTTCTGCTTTCGCAGTCTTTGCAGCCAGAACATCAAGATCTTCTTCAGCAGCAGCGAGAGCGCTCTCAAGAGCACCCATCGCTGCCTTTTCTTCCGTATGCTGTCCTGAAAAACCACTTTGAAATGGTCCCGCTGTCATTTCCTTGCTGTAGGCCTTCTCTCGATCCCGATTCTGTTCGAGCACTTCAGCCATTCGCGCTGACGCATCGTTCTCAGTTTGATCGATGTTAAACAGGTCTTGAATAGTAGACTGCAAATAATCTTATTGTTACACAAAAAGTAAACGGAATTACCTCAAAGAACCAGAAATATCAATAAAAACATTAACATTGTCTTGTCAATCTAAAACATAATTTTTCGGCAAATATTATATACTGTTTATTATATAACTGTGTATTATATACTGTTTATTATATACTTATATAATTTTAATGTTAAATATAAAATGTTATAATTAAAAAAATTTTGAAGTAATAATGCGATAAATAAAATAAATTCCTGTATAAAAAATAATTTCACATTTCTGATAAAGTGATGAAAGAAAATTATATATTTCTGATTAATAAATACTAATAAATAGTAACATAATTTATTTAGCTCTTAATGAGCACTTACACTTTTGAAGTACGCCGTGGTAAAATTGCCGCCTTCAATAGCGAGATCTCCTAGCAATCGTTTCTGATTTGCCTTCTTCAAAATGTTTTCTTCAACAGTTTTTTCACTGACTAATCTGAAAGATAAATCATTGTACTGCATATTATCTTGTCGTCAAACATGCTAATTTTTATGTTATCTTTGCAATTAAATATTTTCAAATTAATAAAATATTCTGAGTTTTTGAAGCTATTCAGTTATTTCGTCTATTATATTTATATTATTAGTCCGCATCGTGTACCTGTAGATATGTACGTCTCGCGTTTGTCCTATTCTGTGGCATCTGTCTTGCGCCTGGGCATCCATTGTAGGATTCCAATCACTATCATAAAATATCACTGTGTCCGCTCCCGTCAAATTCACACCGACACCACCAGATCTCGTCGACAGGATAAAACAAAATATTCGCTTATCGCCGTTGAATCTTTCCATCAAAACCTGCATCAAATCATCATTCTCGCTCATTTATTTATTTATTTATTTCACTTAATCTCATAACAAAAATATGTTGCATAAAATGTTCTACATTTCTTATTACGCTTCTAAAATTAATCATTATACGTTTTAAAAACTAGCAAAAAATTAATACGCTTTCAATACTCGTATTAAAAATCCTCAAAAAATCAATAATTTAAGAGTTTAAATCTTTATACAACAAATTCTAATATTTAGTACCTTATTAATAAGTCAAATTACCTGACGTTGATCTACTCTAGTTGTACCATCTAGTCGCAGATATATGTGTCCATGGAAATTTAAAAAGGCTTCTAATACGTCGAGCATTCTGGTCATCTGCGTGAATATGAGAACTCGATGACTTTCAGACTTCAGCTTTCTCAACAGACGATCCAGTGACTGCAGCTTGCCGCAATCGTACTGGATCAGTCTGGGATCGGGGAACTGTGTGAGCATGTGGCACGAAATTGGATGGAAGAGAGATAATTTCAACGACATTTGTTGCTGTAATTCAGTCCATAGACGGCGGTCATTCCATAACTTGTGCGGCGGCGGATGAGACACATGGAAACGAGGGACTGGAGCGCGTACAGCCGGCACGTAGACTACATATCTGCACAGATATTAAAAAACAAAAAAATTAATTCCAGAAAGAATGTTCTACATAGCAGATTGCAGAATCTTATTTTTCGCTTAATTCTAAACAATCATCACTTTAATAAAATTTTAATTTTTTTAAGCTTATATATTTGAGTATTTTATAAGAAAAGATTTTCTATATATTGATTATATATATTTATAAATTATATCGGATACTAACCTTTCAAAGACCTCCTTGAGCTCTTCAACAATCTGTTCCGTGCTTTTGATAGCTTCCGCAAGTGCTTCCGTGTGTGAAAAGAACTCTTTACGTGTACGAATCTTTTCTCGAGTCTTTGAACAATGCATCCAACCATCATGCCAGCGACAGGCTGTCATAGGTTTGCCGATTCTTAAAGCCATAAACAGATCTTCACCGTAAAGTGGACACGCCGCGCATCTTCGTTCATTGATGTCTGCGAGGAGATGTAATTTGTTTTGTCTTCTCTGTCTTCTTTCCTCCTCCAATTGAGGCTAAAAAATAATAAAGAATTAAAATGTTTTATAAAAAAATTTTAATAAGCACTTAATAGAACAACTTTTTAACATTTAAATGTAAAATCCATTAGATAAAATTACTTCATTTTTTTTACAAAAAATAAAATAAAAAAACAAACGAAGAAAAATGAGAATCAAGTAAATTACTAAGATATCTACATTCAATTACCAAATAAAATTCGGATTTGGGCTGTTCCTTGTTCTGCACTTTCGCGATCTCTTTCTGAGCTTGTCTAGTAACAATACCACGTATAGATTGCGGTTGTTGCTGGTTAGCTGTCTGTTGGCTGTTGTTTCCGCTTGGTGATGATTGCGACGCTGTTACGTTCAGAGGAGGTACTCTCATGATGGGTCGACCGCTTGGCGTTGTTACTACTCCGCTGACAACCTTGTTCATCGCCGTAGCACCCGATGTGGCCAAACCCATTATCGATTTAGACAGCACCGTAAAACGCGATCCGCTTGATGTCATGACTGGAAACGAAACTAACAATACAAAATGTGTTACTTTTTCTTATCTGTCACTGCAAACAAGCTTAAGTTTACAAAAATAATTGTAAAAATCGTAATTGGACACAAACCTGTGTTAGTATTCTGTTGACTCGGCGTCAAAATAAAGTGTCTGCCGGTAGAGGTTTGAACCAGTTGCGCAAAACTAGGTACTGCTATTCTCTGGACGGAATCGCCTTGTTTGACCGTAACAGTTTGTGTCGCCAGTCTTTGAATGCCATCTCTGATACTAGCGTTTCCCACCGTGATTCTTTGCGCGTTTGTCGTTGTCGTGGTAGTTGTTACGCTAGTACTTTGTGGATTATTCCCCAACGTTGCCATAGGAAAAGCTATTTTTAATTTAATAAAATTATATATTTGAATTTAATAAAAATTTATATTTTATACTTTGGATACACTTTTAATATTTTAGTGTATATATGACTACACTAATAAATATGTTAGTGCTTAAACAAAAATTAAAAAATTTTGTTTCCAATATAGTCAAATTTGAATTTTAACAAAATGTAAAAGTATAACACAAATATAGCAACTACAAATGTATGTATAAAATATACAACAAAATGTAAAAGTAGAACACAAATATAAATATAGCAACTACAAATTTAATTATGTAATTCGCTCCAAAAATTAATTTTTTACGAAATGTGTCCTTAGTTCTAGAATGCTTATAAACGGTAAGATTATAAACAAGCTGGCCCAAGGAATTTAGCAATTAATTTAGCATCACTGCAAAAGTAATTGCCTAGCAAGAAAAATTCACAGCGACAGTTACTGATCGATGATGCATAATTTCATATTTTCATATTTAAAAGTATAATTACACAAAATATGGTATAAAATTAAATTAACGTATTTATAATTTTGTAATACATTTAATTGTATTTGAAAATATATTATTAGAATTAAAAAATAAGATTGTGTGTGTGTTAATCTAAAAAATCATTTACCTTTCACACCAGCCTGATGCGGCACCAGTTGTAGGGAATAACCTTGCAATTGTTGACCACCAGCAACTCTCAATGTAACACCTGAGAATAATAGTTATTGCACTTCGTGTTCAATTAACATACATATATACATTTACTTTAAATATATTAATTAAATAATTGAGAAATTAAAAGAAACAAAATAGCTAATTAAAAATTTACTTGGTAGAATCAAATGCATTAACGGGTCTGATATGTTCAGTATTTTGTGATTCCACAAATTTTTTTCTTTGCTAATAATAGTTATGCAATTATATAAATGTAAAGAGATATTTCTTAAATGTTATACAAAAAGATTTGATAAAATAAAAGTACGCATCGAATCAATGCATCTAATTGAATTATTTATTAATTTTAATATTGTGTCGATATAAATTTTAACAAATTCTTTCTTTTTTTATTATAATTAATATTAATTGACACAAAACTACAAGTGCTATACAAATACTTGTATCGCATCACGTACAATATCCTGTTAAAATGCTTCCCTCGTAGCCCGGGATAAGGTTTTGTTCATGTTTCTTCGCAACAAATTCCATCCACTCATTGCGTTAATCTTTTCATGACCAATAAAAACATTTTATCTCTTTTTCCATTACCAGAGAATCGTATTGACAACTAAGAATCTCTAATAAATATAGAATCCCATAATTTTTTACATAGTAAAAAAGAAGTTGCATTTCTATTATTATTTTTCAATGCATTTAATATCTTATAACTAATATGTGATACTAATATACATAATCAACATATTTTATTTTTTTAATAATTAACTATTGCCGCTATATTTTAAACTATTTTGAGATTCGCAAAATGTAATTTTGTTACTAATAAATGGCCATGAAAATGTTAACGACTAATGCGGTAAGATGGGATAACTTGGACCTACCTTGTCCCGGACCACTCTGGCTGGTATTTAATGACTTTATCAAGGAGGACGTACCCACTCTTGGCGTGGGTAATACGCCAGCCAGATTCTTTAGCCTAGTCTGCGTTTGCTGTTGCTGCTGCGGCTTCGCTTGATTTGATAATCTAACGTTGATCTTGATCCGGCCAGACGGACATCTCGGCGGCGGCTCCGGTTGACTATCTATCTCCTCTATTAACTTTCTAGGCGTCCGCAGACGTTTCACTCTATGTGCAACAAATGCACTGAGCATCAACTCCAAGTTCAACAGCAAAAGATTCAAACTAGACAATTCGATGTGCTGCAAAGACAAATCACAATTCGTAAAAACCGAAATATTGCTTTTCTCAGTTCCAGTATACATATAAATCAATAAATTGAATAAGAGCATGATTAACACAGAATATTGTTTACCTTGAAGGGATCATAATCAAGCACACTCCAGACTAACGAAGCGGTTACGAACTCAATCGCTTCCATTTGAAATGGCGAAACAGTCGGTCGAACCTCGAACAGGTTTGGATGATTACACACCTTTCGTAGTTGCATTAATACGTTAATCACACTCAACAGATTCCCGCTGGCGAGTGTTTCCTTCGTTCTTTAATAATATATGTCATCATTAAATACAATAATAATATATAATAGTAATATTCTAAATAATACCGATAGTCAGGTCTTATCTTAAGATCAACTTAAGTAATATTTTAAGGTGCTAATACATTCAATTCTGTAATTGATTTATAATATCTTAAGGGAGGAGCGACCGTACTTCTTACCATAAATGTAAAATAAGACTTGACTATAAATATTGACTTAAATAATTTATTATATAAGAGTATTACATATTTTAAAAGAAATAAAAAAATGTCACATTTTTAAGAAAAAAAGTATTTTAGTAGAAAAAAAAATAGCTAATACTTCAGATTAGAGGACTCTCTCCCCAATGACCTTGACATATCTTCTCATCATCATGACCCCGAGTAACCTCCAAGAAGTTTTAGTCATCACTCATTATTCGTTAAAGTTATTAACAAAAGAAATTTAAAAACTGATATCTCTTTTCTACCATATGAAATAGAAGTTTTCTGCTGCTTTAAAGTATATTTTACAACTTTCCACGCGAAGCGACTCTCAGTCCACCTCCCCCATCCCTGCTTGAGGGCGCACGACTTCCACGCAAAGCGACTCTCACTTCACCTCCCCCCTGCTAAGGGGTGGACAATTTTCCAAAGGAATATAGGATTTGCAATCTCGGAAAAAGTTACGCACCCTCAAGCAGGAGTAGGCTGAGAATCGCTTCGCGTGAAAGTTTTGAAATGAAACATTATTTTTGTAAATAACTTTTTAACAAATAACGAGTAATGTTAACTAAAACTTGTTAGAGATTATTCAGGATAATTACCTTGACAGCGTATGTCAAGATCATTTGGGCGGGGGGCTCTAACCTGGAGTTTATTACTAAGAAATATTTTTTTATTTCCAATGCTTAGAGAGAACAAAACTTTTAAATTTCAAAAATACTACACGTTAAAGAGTTCACTTACTTGGCCCTCGACATGAAGTCATCATACAGAAACCTCTGACGCTTTGACAAACGGCACATGACCACGTGCTCATATTTTTTCGGTAATTGCTTTTCTACTTCAATTTTTAATCGTCTTAAAAGAAAAGGCCGCAACACCTACGGAGAATGTTTATTAGATATTAAATTTACTGTATTAAAAATTAAATATATGTATGGTACATTTCTATACATATGTTAAACAACGTTATATAAAATTTAATTTCTTTTGCTAATGTATTTATAAATTAAATTAAAAAAGAAAAAAACAAAAAAAAAGATGATAAAAAAGTTAAAAAAAAACTACGTACAGACCTTATGTAGACGGCGGATTATGTTCTCGTTGTATTCGCTATTTCCTTCGATCATGCCTGTTACAGGATTGCTGAACCACTCTTTAAATTCACGATGCGACTGAAAGACATTAGGCATAAGAAAGTGCATAAGCGACCATAGTTCCATTAAATTGTTTTGAAGGGGTGTGCCAGTAAGAAGTAATCTCCTGTAACAAATAAATCGAAAAGTGACATTTCAATTTTGATTTAAGTATGAAAAAGTTTTCATCACTTTCAATTAAAATACAATAATCAACATAGGTCAGAACTCAAATTTTATAACTGTTAAGAAAATCAATATAGATTTTTACAATTTAAGAATTAAGAATTTCAAAAAAAATTTTGAAAAAAATTAATATACTGACTTAATATTTTTCAAGTCGTAAATAACGTTGTTTTATATCTATTTCTAGCATTAGATTAACTTTAATAATTAAAATTAATCCTACGAATCAAAAAAGAATATTATATTTTATTAACATTCAAACAATTATAATCAATAAAATAATAAATATATTGTTTCTCCAGACAGGATTCGTATGTCAGGCAACGATCGATTGTTGACACGCGAGTTTTAATGGAGAATTTTGCTATCTCGCTGTTTAATAATACAGACGTCATCATTTTGGATTAACGCCTGTAGTCGGCAGCGAAAATTATAATTATGTATAAATGAAAAAAGCGGAATTTTATATAAAATAAATATATATTTATAAAATATATAATTTCTTTTAAACGTTATATATAATTACAATTATAAAATTATTTATAATTATTTATATACACAATTAGACTTTGATTTACTTTTTACCTTTTTCTAATACTTCAAATCAGAAAATAATAAAAAATAAATTAAACGAGATTAAAATTACATTGACATGGACATGCAAGTATGAATACAATTGCTATATTTAACGTAACTCCAAACATGCAACAATGATGTATGCATGTGTGTGTGTTATAACAGATATTTATTATGATTTAGTTACCGTTGTGTCTGAAAGTTTAAAAGTAACTGCCACCTCTGCGATTTGAAATTCTTGATATTCTGCGCCTCATCCAAGATAAGATATTTCCATTTTTTTCGTCTAAAGCTTTGGTGATCTTGTATTACTAATTTATAGGACGTAATGCATATATGGAAGGCGTTTGGTTTTGTCCAACCTATAAGCAAAGAAAAGAATAACACATTTCAAATAATTACGATTGTAATTAATAAAGTAATAAATATTAATTGTTTCTTCAGACAGGATTCGTATGTCAGATAATCGATTTTTGACACGCGAGTTTTAATGAAGAATTTTGCTATCTCGCTGTTTAATAATAGACATCGCCACTTTGGTTGAATCAATGCCCGTTGTCGGCAGCGAGTAAAATTACAATTACTCATAAGCCAAAAAAATAGTTTCATATAAAAGAAATGTTTTATAAAATTGTTATTGAATATAATTTACACATAATTATATAGATTTTGAATTAGATAGTTAAATAGTTGTAGTAAAACCTTAAAAAAAATCACGATGTCGGTTTGTTTGCGTTGCACTTTTAGCACTCAGTATCTTTATTTTTTTTCGAAGTACAAATATATATTGATCTCGTTTTAAATGCAAAATTTTTTTGATTTCAAGCAACGTTAACAAATCAAATATTTCAAGGTACACGTGTCACATTATTACCTGTTCTCTTTTGTTTCCTTTCCTTCTGTGTGCCGTAATATGTCAGTATTTTAAATCCAGGACACCATTTTTTACATTCCATTTCCCAATTAAGCATCACAGAAGTCGGCACGATTATAAGATGTGGCCCCCAGTTTCCCTTCTCGCAGGCCAGATGCGCCAACAACGCGATAGTTTGTATAGTTTTACCTAGACCCATTTCATCAGCCAGAATGCCGTTTAACTTTCTTTCATACATCGTGACAAGCCAATCCAATCCTATGTGCTGATACTCGCGAAGAGAGTGTTTCAGAAGAAAAGGTATTTTAGTGACAACCTAAAAATACATATTATATAAATGAAAGCACAAAAAGAAAACATATATAGAAACTATAATAGCACAAAAAATAATTTTACAATAGTTTACTTAGTTTTTACAAGATTTTCTGATCAATTTAGAATTTGTTTTAGCAAAAATTGAAAAATTTTTATTTTATTGTCTATTACAATTCTCCCATATTTCCAATTTGTTATACATATTCATATTTTCAGATAATGTTATTTATTTACTTGCATCTAACGAATAATTTTCAGTTTGGAATATTTAGTTCAAAAAAAGTTCTCCTCATTCAAAGATTTATTGAAATTTATTTATTAGAACATTAGAAATTTATTTATTGGCACTACAATGTTTAAAAAAAATTAAAAATTAATGTAATAGTTAAATATTTTACACATAAATTTTTGTAATTAATTTTGTAGTGATTATTTTCGAGAATAAAATATGTATGTTTATTCATGGAAAAACTATCACTGTTAATTTTCCTTTCGTAAATGATGATGAGCAAAATGGCTGCTTCACCACCTTGGATAGAAAGGATCATTTAAATTTCTTAATGTCTAAATAAAAATTAAAATAAAGAAACAAAAATTTGCCGATTCAAATATTCGATAAAAAAAGCATTTAATTTAATTTAAAAAATACATCCTTCTATATATTTTTTTATACATATAATATACATATATAAGTATGTATATTTTATAATAAAATTTAATAAAACAAAATAAAGTATAAACACAAGTAAACTTACACTAGTGGTAAGTAATGTATTTCCCTTAGGCTGGATGCTTTCGGCCAACGCGGCAACGTTATCCATTTCATTATGAGCGTCCGAATTATCATCTTCTGCAACCTATTATGATGAATAAACAGTTATGTGACAAATTAAAAAGATATGTACACATAGTAGCAATAAAAAGAATTAAAAAATGTAACAATGATCAAGAAACTTAAATAATAAAATTCAAAATAATTGTAAGATTTTAATATATTATGTAAAATAAAAAAAACTTACTTTATTCTTCAATTGTTTTTCCGCGGAAGGGTCTTCGAGAAGCGATTGAAGTCCTACATCTGCCTCGGGATCGCTCTGAGTCTGAGTCTCATCTTCATCACTATCGTGATCACTCTCTTCACTTTCACTCTCGTTGCTACTTATTTGGTCTTCGGTCTCCTGTGTTCCCCGTTCGCTACTTTCTTTATCCGTGCCTAAGTAAGAGAAAATGATACTTGATTAAATGTGATTTATCTTATTTTTTTCAATAATAATATATAATTTTCGCAATTTTCTCAGACAAATGCCTCATTTCACAGCATGAATAATACAAGATAAATGAAAACCAAGTATCTCATATTGTCAGTTGATGGTAGTAGTATCATCACTGTAATAAATTATACAAATAAAAGCATCTTTATATAATAAAAATTTTCATGATAATCGAGATAATAATGAAAGCTTTTATAAGTTTAATTTTAAAAAAATTTGTTTTAAATCTCGCTTACAAAGATATTCAAACAATGCACAATTTTAAAAAGCGTATTTAAGTTGAACTTTATATAAAAATAATAAAAATATTTTTCAAAAGAACTTTAAAAAAGAATCTAAAAAATGTACCTTCAGCCTCATCATCCTCATCCATCAACACATCCGACATATTAGCATATTTGGCCGCGAGTTCGTCGATAGACATTTCATTATCAGCCTAAACAAACACGAGCACATCCTTATTTAAGTCTGACAAAAACGATTTATGATAATTGTCTGGTTATTTCTTGAAAAATAGAAAGTTATGTACCTTAAGTTCATCGAGTTCTCGCTTATGATCGATTTCTCCCTCGAGCCTTTCCTCTTCCATGATCGTATCTTCTTCATCCGTGGATTCACCAGACGCTGCGACAAAATCTACATCTGCATCAACCGTTTCTTCATTTTCCTGTAACCAAAAAAATTTCATTTTATCTTTTAATGAACGTTTAAATAGGCGATGATTTAGGAACTTCCAAAATTGAAACAGTCATTATATAACTAAAAAATAACTAATAAAAAATGATTAATTTCAATATCTTTACGCTATTAATTTACAGTCTATAAATATTATTATATATATATATATATATATAAAAGATATATATTCAAATACTTATTTTATTAAAAACATACATTTTGCTCTTCTTCATTCGTTGCGTTATTCGGCGATAGACTTCTGTTTCGATGCTCCAAATAATCTGGTGGTAAGTCCTTCAAAAGATCTTCCAAAGGTATTTCTGATTCTTTTTTTAACAACTCAACTTCCTCTTTGTGATTAGTCGTTTTCATTTCCTCTTCGGCTTTAGCTATAGTCTCCTCATCATCGTCTGAACTCTGATTTGGTTGAAATTCCTCTGTAACAGATTATATCATATAAAATTAAATTATTTATGCAAACATATAATGTCGTATATAACTATAGAATATACTGTAAAATATTTGTATAACATTAAAGTTCTGTAATTTAAATTGTATCATGCAATAATTTTGCATTTCCAATAATAGCATTGAAATGAATATTAATAATATTATGTATTAATAATGTTATTAATTAATGTGTTTTATTGATTGCATGCATTAATGTTCATTAACGTAAATAAAAATTAATTACATTTTATTATGCAAGTTAAACGTACCATCGGAATGACATTTTCCCACTGGGACTGGTGAAGAAATACGTGAACTATTTATGGAAGCTGGAATACTCTGTGGACCGTCGGTCTTGTTGAGACCTTCTGTCAGCCATGTGGAATATTTCTCTGTTTGACCCACAATGAAGTTTAGATGTTGATCCAATGCCTTCTTCCGTTTTTCTTCAAGTTTCGTTTGCTGCTTATACTCCACCAACTGTCAACATTGCATTATTATTTTGATAATTCTGTCCACATTTATTTCGCGTGTATAAAACTCGTGTTTAAAACATGTAAATGTTATAGATTAATGTCTAAATATTGTTGCTAATTATTAATAAGAAATGTTATAAATTCACATCCATTTATGTTTTTAAGATTTTGCGTTTACGTAATTAAACATATTTTAATACGAATGTCCTACGCTAATTCTTTGGTTGAATTTAGAAGAAAACCAAACAACCATACACAATGCGCAGACTTTGCTATTCCCACAACGAGCACACGCTTCCGATAAAGATGCATCAAAAACGCCGGCTTAATTAGTGTGGGGTAGAATAAAGTTATATGAATCAATGTAACTTTCATAAAAAAAAGTAATGTAATTATAAAATAAAAAAATTAAACAATTTTTTATAGAATTAAATTAATAAAAAACTGGTTAATTTATCCACGTTTCTAAATGTGTGCACTTTAGCTTTTCATTTACTTTCTCAACATTTGTCCAGAAAGTTTTAATCTCCTTTGCGACCAAGCTGGCAATTTTCTTCAGCCGAAGTTCCTGCAATTTCTCAGCCTTCTGTGCTTGAATCGCCTTTTCCTGAAAGTACTTCTGCACCATTCTCGCGCATTTCTTCGCTGCTGCCTTCTTCCATTTACGTTCTTGAGCGAAGTCAGCGGCCAACCAAACCATTTCCTCTAACAAGTAATCCCAATGGGCTTTGGTTCGAGTCGGTTCCTGCACCTTGGGCAATCGCCGTTCCGACCATAATCCCTCGCGTTGCAGTTCTGCAATCCTTTGCATTACATACGCCTCCTATATCCAGATAATCGCACCCATTAACATATAACATTTAAAATTTAAATATATAAACTATATATTTGACTGACTTATTCGAAAAGAAACAAATATAAATTAAATAATTTAACAAACTAAATTATTAATTATTTGATGTAGTCTGTAGTTACTGTTTCAATAAAAGAAAATTTAATAAACTAAAATTGTTTTAAACATGTTTAGTAAAAACAAAATAAAAATTATTTAAGTAAATAACTCGTTCATAAAAAAAAAACTTATAAGAAATTATATCCAATCAAACCTACAAGTGGTTGCTGACACATATTTAAGATACTAATATATAAATATTCGTTTTTTACATCGAAAAAAGATAATATTAAAATAGTCAATCGCGGCAATTACCTGCTTAGCTTTTTCCACAATTTGCTCCTGATTGTTCGAGATATCACAGGAAGTAGTTATGGTAGTGGGTGTAGACAACTTAACGAGCTTAACGATAGGTTGTGGACTATTGAGCGCAGCTGTAGTCACAGACGATTTCGGGGTGGCGACAGTGATTATAGACGGCGACGACTTTTCTACCACCGAACTCGCGGCCGTGGTCGTCAGTTTCGACGAGTCTGTAACCACCGACGTTCCACCTAAAATGATAACACCGCTTTGAGATTGCTATGATAATAAATAATGTGAACGATGATGCATTAATCAAAAGATAAATCAAAGAGCTGATTGTGACAGCAACACATGTATTACCATAAGATAGGGTAATTTTGGTTAAAAATAAGTATAATCTTAAATCTTTAAAGATTATAACCTTCCTGCAATTATATTTTGTCAATCTTATACTGCTTTTTTTATTTAGTATGATCCGATTATATAAGTGTACAAGCACTTCTTCCTTCCCACATAATTAAAATAAAATAAAATTTCCATATATTGTATAGAAAATTATTTCCAAATTGCACCTGAAAAATCATACTAAAACGAAACAAAATGAATTTTTTAACTAGAAGTTGGCATTTTAACGTGGCATTAATAAAATTTAGAAAAAAAATCGGTTGCCGATGTTACATTATAAAAATCGTCAAAATACTTTTTTTGTACCATTGACATCATTTTTTTAAATTATGACGTGATAGCCAAATTTAGCTAAGAAATTCGCAATCAGTGACTAAAGCACTCTGTGCTGTGTTTAAAAAAAAAGATCAAATTTCCTCGAATAGTGTAAAAAAGAAACCAGCATAAGAATAAGAGAATTGAGGCAATAAATGAACAGACAATAAAGTAAGAGAAATGAGATTTAATCAACTTATTCCAAACTGTAAGTTAAAGTTATCCATTAACATTAATAT